TGTCAATCAACCCGCCAGTGAATTCAATCCGGAGATGACTGCGCAGGGCTCTGTATGTCGGTGCTGGATCGATAAATTGATTGACTGGTAGTCGACCTGCCTTCTACCGACACACATACATCTACTCAAAGTGCTCTATCAGTGGGGTTGCAGTCGGGTCTTCCGGAAATAGGGGTATCGCCTCCGTAAAGCACCACCCCTAGTGTGGTGTCCGGAACACTCAGGTCGGTCCTTAAAAACCCGAGGTAGGCATTATGATTTTCGTGGCAGGCCGTACTCATATCCGCATCAGGTGAACAGCCTCTGGCAATGGAATAATGTAGGTAAGGGAGGTCGGCATATTTGATCCGTAACCTCAGAAAAGGGATTGGCACTGAGGGCCGAGTCAGACACGCTGGGGGCAAAGAAACATGTCTGTTCAGCCTACGGCTGGCTAGTCGGTTAGCTAGACTTTGGCTGCATCTGTTGCTGCTGGGTGTACGCCTCTAGGAGCTGCTGCTGCTTCTTCTGCTTCTGTGGCTGCTGGGGCCTCCCTTGCTGCTGCTGCTTCTACTGCTGATGCTTTTGTGGCTGCTGCTTTTGCCTCTGTTGTTGCTTTTGTGACCATGTCCTCCAGCCACTTCGTTCTGTCATCACTGCCTGTCTGCTTACAGTCTTCCTACAGCATTGTGAGGCATTAATGATAATTATCTGCTGTGCTCCGAAGATCTTCCACACTTGTTCTACACTGCTCATGTTGTGTAGTCACCCGGTATGATCTTGCGTGTTCACCTGCGTCTGGAGTGATCAACTGCGTCGCCACTGGTTATAACCTTGTGTGAGTACCTCTGTTGCCACTTCTTATATCCCCCAGTTGTTTGTTAGGAAGAGAAGGCAGACGGGATAGCAGGGAACAGTTTACTGTAACAGTTTCTGCCTGAACATCGAACTCTGCGAGTGGCTCTCCACTTGTCCCGTGTCCGTCAGCAAGTCATCCCGTCTTCAGCTTGTCTCCTGTGCGCCGACAGCGCGGCCTCGTGTGGGCAACAGAATCTCGTCTCGGCAACAGACTTCACCTTCTGTTCGCAGCCTCGTATTTAAGGGCCAGCAGACCTTGTTCCCTGTTGGCCCCTCCGCAAATGGTCAGTGTGGGCAGCCATCGCGCGGTGAAAGAACCCGGAGGCTGTATCTCACGTGCGCGTTACTCTTTGCGGCCTCGCGTAGTGTCGGCCCTCAAAGTCCGCGCGTAACCTGGTCCTTTGTGTGATGGCGCTATCTCTTTGTAATCCGGACCTGAGGACAGCAAGAGTGTTGACTCCTGTTCTGTGCCGTCCCAATAAATTATTCGTCGATACGTTCAAGCCGGCTCCCCAAATATAAAAAATGGTAGGG